CCATAGCCACCCAAGTGTTGTTTTGGTGAATAGGCACGTCTTCAAGTTAGCATCTTTAGAGGTGAAGTCCACTAGATATAGGTTGTTGTACCTAAATCCTTTGAATACCACTTGATCATCATCCTTCTTAGATACAACAACTTACTTCTCGGTAAACAAGCATTGGAAGCTAAGATCACACAATTGTCCAACTGATAGCAAGTTGAAGCTCAATGAAGCAACATATAGCACATTTGAGATAGAATGATCAATTGATTTGCCATTTTGCCCAATCCTTTAACCTTGCCTTTGAATTATCTCCAAATATGATTCTTTCTTATCCATCTACTTCTTCATCTAGTGAGGTGAACATACGAGGATCACCGATCATGTGTTGTGTGCAACCACTATCAATAACCCAATGACTTCCACCGGTCTTGTAGTTCACCTACACACAAGAGATCAAGCTTTAGGAACCCAAACTTATTGAGAGCTCTTCACCTTCTCAATAAGTGACTTTGCAACTCAAATTTTCTTAGGCCTATTCTTGTTGGAAGGTCCTAAGAACATGACTTTCATCTTTCCACTAGAATCTTTTGTAAGCATGTAATGAGCATTGAACGCAAAAGGTCTAGCATGCTTGGGCAAGGGTTGTGGTGGTGGAGTTTAGCACTCATGGACAAAGTGGCCTTCTTGTCCACACTCAAAACATCTCTTTGGCTTTGGCTTTGATTTATGTTGTTGTTGAGCTTGAGCCTTCTTCTCTTGTTTTGCCAAGTACCCAATGCCACTTCTATCCATCTTCATAACGGTGTTCATTAGTAGCTCACTTTGAAGATGCTTGCCTCTTGTGAACTTGCTCAATCCAATCTTGAGATGATCTTTCTCCAACTTGAGCTTCTTGTTCTCTTCCTTGAAAGCATCATTATTTTTCTCTTCCTTGAGCTTCTTGTTTTCTTTTTCGAGCTTCTCATTCTCAAGAATCAAATCACCATCATGATCAAGAGTTTCTAGCACAATAGTGTTGTGGCTTTTGATCTCTTCAAGATCTTTCTTGAGCTTTTTATTGTCATTCTTGAGCTTGACAAACTCATCATAATCATCGACCTCAACCACTTGCTTGCCCTTGCTACTAGAACTTTGCTCAATGCTCTCAATGATCAAATCATCACATGATGTAGCTATATCAATCTTAACAACATTGTTAGTAGCATCATGTGGTTCATTAGATAGAAATTCTTGAGCAATGACAAGATTATCATGATTAATCTTAAGAGTGGTATAGTCTTCTTTTAGCTTATTGTGGCTATTGATGAGCTCTTTATGCATCCCCTTAAGTTTATCATGTTTATTTTTAAGATCTTTCTTAGAAGAATTGAGCTCTTTGAGTTTAGATGATATAGCATCATTTGATTCTCTAAGCTCAACACTAGCCTTTTCGCCTATATCACATTTTGCTAAAAGAGAATCATTCTTAGCTTCTAGCTTGTCATTCTTAGCCCTAGTCTTTCTAATGATCCTAGTATATTTTTTTAGCAATTTGACAAGTTCATCATATGAAGGTGATTCAAATTCATCATCATCACTATCACTATTACAATCATCATTGTTAGCATGATCATCACTACTACTATCATTATCATTTGATACCTTTCGTTCACCCTTGGCCATAAGGCATAGGTGTGTAGAGGATGATAGCGGTGGTGTTGGTGAAGATGATGAGAAGTCAATCACAATGGCGGCCACCTTCTCATTATCACTATCATCATCGGATGAGCAACTTGATTAATCAATGTCCATGAGCCAATCACCGACGATGTATGCCTTTTCACTTTTTTTCTTCTTATGGAAGTCCTTCTTCTTACCATCTCTCTTCTTGTATGGCTTATTTTTCTTCTTCTCATCTTCTTCTTCATTGCTTGAGTCATCTTTCTTGCCCTTGTACTTATTCTTGTACTTGTCTTTCTTGGGCTTTGTGCATTGATGTGCTAGATGACCAAGTTCTCTATAATTTTAGCAATCCATCTCCGAGATTGGCTTCCTTCTAGAGCTTGTGAAGAACTTCTTCTTCTTGCCATCGAACTTAATGCCACTCTTGTTGAGCTTCTTTAGCATCTTGGCGGTTCTTTTCACCATGAGAGCAAGGCTTGCATCATCAACTTCATCATCACTTGAGCTCTCATACTCAAGTCTTGCTTTGTCCTTCTCTTGGCTAGCCTTGAATGCCAAGTCTTTGTCTTTCTTCTTGTTAGAGGATGAGCTATCTTGAGGTGTGATGTGCATGTACATCTCATTAGCATTGATCTTTTCCAAGATTTGTGTCGGTGTAGCGGTGGAAAGATCACCTTGATGAAGCACGGTCACAATATGCCCATATTTGTCAATGGGGAGGACACTCAAGATCTTTCTTACAACATCAGATGGTTGCATTTGAGTGAGTCTAAGCCCATTTACTTCCTTTACAAGAACATTCAAGCGTGAGTACATTTCATTAGCATATTCTTTAGGAAGCATCTTAAAAGAGTTAAGCTTTTTCATGACAAGATGATAGCGTTCCTCATGCTCACTCTTTGTTCCCTCATAGAGCGCACAAACGTCCGACCATAGTGCATGGCCGTCTTTGTGGTTCCTCATCCGGTTGAACACATCTTTGCAAAGGCCTCTAAAGATGGTGTTTCGAGCCTTTGCATTCCATTTTTCATAATTTGCCTCATCGCCTTGTAGGTGTGTAGCACCCCGAGGTTTTGGGAAGCCTTATGAGGTGGCTCTAAGTATTCCAACAATTAGAGCTTCTAGATACGTCTCAATGCGGATTTTCCAATATGAAAAATCATCCCTCTCAAAGATTGGAGGAGGTCCATCCCCGTGAGACATCTTTCACTAGGCGGTTAAGCCTAAATACGTGAGCACGAGGCTTCGATAACAATTGAAAGGATCAAGATGCCCAAGAGGAGAGGTGAATTGGGCTAATTCTAAATTTCTTTGCAATGATTAAGCCCTACGGTTAGCTCAATTAACCCCTTGTGCATAGAAAGTGTTTCTATTGATCTACCGTACAAAAGTTTAGCAACCTATGTTCCAATTCTACTCTAACATGACAATTCTATGAATATAAATGACAAGAATTGAATTGCTCAAAGTAAATGCTCAAAGTACAGAGAGAAGGAGGAACGCGGCGATGTTTTATCGAGGTATCGGAGAGTCGCCACTCCCCACTAGTCCTCGTTGGAGCACCCGCGCAAGGGTGTAGCTCCCCCTTGATCCACACAAGGATCAAGTGTTCTCAACGGATTGATTCTTTGATACTCCGTCGCGGTGAATCACCCACAACCGCTCACAACTTAAGTTGGGTCATCCACAAGCTCCGCCGGATGATCACCAAGCTCTCAATCACCACCAAGCCGTCTAGTTGATGGCGATCACCAAGAGTAACAAGCACGAACTCTCACTTGACCACGACAAGCCTAATGAGAAGGGTGGATGCACACTTTGCTACTCTTGCTTTCACTAATGAGAACTCTCTTTGGGATTCACAAATATCAATCATCTCACTAGGACCTTGCTCTTCTTGGTATTCTCAAAGGTGTTTCTCAGCTATTGGAATGAGCAAAAGTACCATCTCACACGAATGGAAGAAGTATTTATAACCTAGGTTGAAAAACGAACCGTTATGTGCCTCTGCGGGGTGACCGGACGCTCCGATCAGTTCTCCCCGAACTCTAGTGTTTAAGTTGTGACCGGACACTGGACAGCGTCCGATCACGATTTTCCCTCTTTGGAACTTTACTAGAGTCGACCGGACGCTGGGACCCAGCGTCCGGTCACTCACCTCTTCAGCGTCTGATCGTACCAAACGGAATCACCTTGGTCAAATGAACTGACCAGACTCTGCGCCAGCGTCCGGTCACACCGGAACCAGCGTCCGGTCAGTATTTGACCCTCCATTCACTTCCAACTCTCGATCATACCTGAATGAAGTTTGCTCCAATGGATCTAAGGGCTTTTTAGGAGCTACCTAGCGCTAGTTTTAGCAAGTGTGCACCACACCTAACCCACTAGACTCACATAGGTCAAGTTATCCGTCCATATCCCCTAAATAGTACGGCTAAAGGAAAAACAAAGTCATAAACTACTCTAAGTATCACTTCAACTCCAATCGACACTTAAAACTAGTCCATCCTTAACCTTGTCGTCCATCCTTCGAAAACCGAAACGATTTTCATCGTAAGTGCATGACCACCGTGATAGCCCAATCGATCTATATTACCGTGACCTAACTTAATTGTGTCTATAAAACACATGTTAGTCACAATAATCACATATTGTCATTAATTATCGAAATCCAATCGAGAGACCTAGATGCTTTCAGCTACCTTAGTCTTATTAGACCGTGGAGCGTGCAGTGTGTGCAAGTTAATTTGGTCGCCGTAGCGTAGGAAAGCTTTTAAGTCTGGCTGTATGCTTGTAATTAATTATTACACAACAATTAAGCACAAAATCCCAAATGGCCCAAAAAGCGACGGGTCTTTCTTCCATTCCATTCCAGACTGAATCCGAATCAGATCAATCAAGCGTATAAAAGACTGTCCAACAAGCATCATTAAAAGAACACAGAGTTTCTTTCGTTTGTTTACTACTATTTATTCACCGAATTCTAGATGGGACACGACCCAATCACCCAATTCCATATTTAAAAGGGACGGTTCGCTTGATGTATTGCTACAGTAGTTTCCTAGCATAAGGAGTAAAGCTGTGTGTCTGTTTAGTTCCTAAAATTTTGCAAAATTTTTCAAGATTCTTTGTCACATCGAATCTTTGACGCATGCATGAAGCATTAAATATAAATAAAAAATAAAACTAATTACACAGTTTATACAAAATTCATGAGACGAATCTTTTAAGCCTAATTAGACTATAATTGGACATTAATTGTTAAATAACAATGAAAATAATACAGTACCGTTTTCCAGAAAAATTCACCAACAAAACACGGCTCGAAGCAAGTATATCTAGCCGCTAAGATGGACAGCGATGTGCCGATGTTAAAGGAAAGCACGAAATTCCCAGAAAAAGGAAGAGAAAACGAACACGGTCTGCTTCTCATCATCACACAAATATACAGTATAATAGATTTTTTGTTAAGTGCTAGCGCTAAATCGATCGAGCACGCAGGGAAAAATAGGAACCGCTTATCAATTTGACGTGAGAGAGAGAGTAGAGATGAGAGATTGATTTGACGTGGCCCTGGTCGTTTGAACTCATCTGCTACAGTATTTTTCTTTCTCAGCGAATACCGGTTTCTCACAGAAGCGTCTGGCTTTCTTCTTCGATCGGTCTGCGCGGCTTCCGGTCACTGACTGGCGTGGAAGCGGAGAGGGTTGCCTCTGGGGTCTGGTGTTTGTTGCGTGTCTCTGTCTCGTCTTGTGTTGGTCTCTCCACCAGTATACACCGTCGTCGTCGTCTGTCCATCTGATGTGTGGATCCACTCGCTGTGACTGAGAAACGGGGAAGAAACGGCAAGAGACGGACGGGCAGCTAACGGCGAGGGAGAAGAGATATTTTTTTACCGTCTTCGTGCTCTGCACGTTTAGGCGCAGGGGGCCAACCCTGGCCACCATCACAACGCCTCGCTTGTTTTTGAGATGATTTTTTTTTTGGAAAAATTAGTTTTTGAGATGATGAGATAATAAACATACACACAACGCCTCGCCTAGCTGAGAACCGAGCGTAGCTCGGGTGGCAAGGCCCGGTGGTTGGGACCTCGCCGGCCGGAGTTCGAGCCTCCGTGGCTGCAAATTTCTGATCTCTCATACGCGTGGTGTGAGTGTATGTGGTTGGTGTGCGTCTGCATCTAAACAGATGCTACCGCTGTATCCATAGAGGCGAAAAAGAAAACGCCTCGCCTCGCTGGCGGCGGCCCCGACCGCCGTCCATGCCTCCGGCGCCCGGCGGCCGTGTCAGACCCATCCTCGTTGCTGGCTAAAATCACAGGCGGCGCTCCTTCCCCGTCTGGTGTTCGCTCTCCTGCCCCATCAGGCCTTGCTCGTCTCATTTCCCATCCGGCCGTCTTCCCCCGTTCGTGCGCATGCTGGTGGTGGTAACCGCTCCACCCGTCGCCGCAACATGCGCCGCCGCATCATTGGGATGCATGGGCGCGCGAAGCTGGGCAGCGGCGGCGATGTTCGGACGCTGCGCATGGTGGAGGCGGACGCCCGTCCCTGCAATGGGATGCATCGCGCGAAGCTCGGTACCTGCGGCGATGGTGAGAAGCTGACCCGCGGCGGCGGCTAGATCTGCGACGGCGATGGGGTCCAAAGTCGTGGAGGCGGGTGGTGTTGAGGTGGCCGCCGACCTCTCTGCGGGCATGGATCTCGCTGCGGAGGTGGAGCTGGCTGCTGAGAGGTCTCCAGATGTCACATCTAGGTGTGTGATAATGAAATGATCTTTACGTGTTGCCGAAATGTTGTGTGCTTTTGATTTCAACATGCCAAAATACGTGTACCAATGCTAATTCACTGTATCAACGATGATGGATAGTAGGTGGTTTAGTTTAATTATAAGGGATTGAGATTTAGATAACAATGGAAGGCCTGACAATTTCGGTGACTACCTGAACTAGATTCCTGCAGTGCAGTTTCTTGAAATGATTTTTGGTTGCACTTAACTCAATGCCACAATTAGAATACTACATTCAGAGGGAGCCAACAATATCTTTTGTTCAATTTATTTGTGGCTAATTATTGACATTGATCAGTGTGTGAACTTAGTATGTACAGTTCTGTGAATTTGAGTTTATAAAAAATATAGGAGGCGGCCCTAGCTGAGTACGTATGAGATTATAAAAAAGAAGGGCTTCAAATTTAGGCGCTGCCTGAACCAGATTACTGCAATGCAGCTTCTTAAAATGATTTTATGGTTGCAATAAGGTCAAATTATTTGTGATTGTTTTACATTGTCCTGTGGCCACCTGCTAATTATTGGCATTGATCAGTGCATGACATAATATCTGAATCATGTCTACTAAATTATCGTAGCCAAACCATCATAGCAAGTATCACAGTAGCAGTACATTGACCAAGTTAGAAACCTACAGCACCTAGACAATATACAACCATTACATTGCTCATACCAGGACCACATTGATATTCCACTGCCATGACAGTACCATCACATGGGAGCAAAATTACTATACTACATAATCCTAAAGCAACTAGGTACCCAGGGACTCCATCACACTCTCATATAGTTGACGATCACAATTTAGGGATCTGGGAAGGAGGCCTAGGGCCTCTAGCCTTTCTTTGTTCATGTGAGGGATCTTGTATTTGTTCCCTCCACCAGCCTTCATCACCTCAATCAAGCATCCTTGTAATGTGAGGAAGACATTTCTCAGATCATTTACATCATAATAATTTCGAAATTCGTTCTCGACATTTGCAATCAATTCATCCAAATTTCTAGAGGCTGTTGCATCTGTGTTCGACTGAAGAGAAGCAAAAAATCCTAGATCTAAGACATTCATATCAGGGGAATTAGGAGGTTAGTTGACGAGGCGGATGTCAAACCCAGTTTGGGCTACTGCTCTTGCAAAGTCTTCATCATCAACTGGGACATGAGTTCTAGCATTATCCTATTGAATCCAAATAGTTCTCCCTGCATCTTCTCAAGGCCAACGAGTTTTGATGGCCCATAGGACTTTACCAATCAGGTACGATCTCATAGTATCCCTATAAACCTTCATTGTTTTGGTGATGAGTGTCCCCTTGGTCTGTTACCACTTCTCCTTTTAGCGGGTTCCTACACATAGTGGCACACAAGTTACCTTTGTGAACACATAACATAAACTAATTGATATGAAGCATGTAGGTTCGTCTACCTTTCTTATAAAAGGCCAGATGCCTATCTTGCCATCAAATGTGCAATTTCCTTCATCGTCGTACCGAGGCTTAGCAACAGCAGTTAAGAACATCACCTTTCCAATGGTATTCTTGTTGTGGACAGTCCTGTGTGGCTCATCCTCGTATGGATGCAAGTAATAGGTCATGTCCTTTTTTGTGGCGTTGTACCGCTTCTGATCCAGGTGGATGATGTTGTCCATTTCAATAAACTTTGGTTCAGTTTGCAATGTACTTGGACTAGCATTGAAATACACCATGACAATCTTTCCTTTTTGTTCGCTTCCGTTAAATATGGCTTTATTGTGAGTGTCGTAAGAGTCCTTGTTTGAACAGCCTATGTAATGTGCTTTTGTTTGAACCTAGAGCTTGAGCCAGAGATCTTATAGTCGATCTTCTGCGCAGTGGAATTGTTGGAATTTGTGATAGGTCAACTTGAACCTTTTTCCGGCCAGAATTCTTGGGCTTTCTAGAACCGATATCAACTGATATTCCAGTATCACGACATTGCTTTGCACACTTACAAATCCACCACATCGCCGATCGATGGACATTGAACAATTCAGCAACCCTATTTGTACTGTTTCTCCTTAGTTTACCGTTGACACTTCTCTCAAGCAAAGCTTCATATATTTGTTGTCTTTGAGTTGGAGTAAGATCTTTTGCCCTGGTGCGAACATTTGCAGTTTCATGTCCATCTTCGTTGCTTGAGCCATCCACGACCTCTTGGTTGAAGACAATGTCGACTTCGTCCGTGTAAACGCCATACACGAGCATGTCCTCCTCCATGGCCTCAAAGAAGGAATCATTGACTACAAAGCAAATCCCAAGGGTAATTGTTTAGTGCATATTGCCTTCTTTGTGCAATGCAATTTAATTGAAATCATATCGTCTACCTGTTTGATAGCTTGTTAACATCATGAAGACAACTTAATATTGCTGAGTAATTAGTGCAGGATAACTCTTGGTATTACGATAAGAAAGAACTGTATGTTGTAAGCATCAAGTCTGTTTGAATGTTTGTTTAAGTGGGGTTGCTGCTGCTAGAGATGAGGCAATATCTGATTCTTGTGTTCAAGTTTGTTACAAAGTGATGTGTTGTACTGAAACACATGCACAGTTTGCACATTTGGTTAGATATATTTAAGAATTAAAATAGGTTCCTATCTCACATTACAGCTATGAAGAAACCTAGTGCTGCAATTCTTACTATTGCTTATGCCCTATGTTCCTGAACCAAAAGATCTATTTGTATGGTGGAAGAACTTAGGTATGTTGGCACCGCAAAACAACCCACTAATGTAATACAGTAAGTCATTTTTAAGTCACATGTGACCTCTATGTAATCTCATTAAATCAATTTTTTTTGTGCATAATTATGAAAAGCGTAGAAGAATAGCATAGGTCAGTGATCATACTTTTTTGCATTTCTTCATATTGGGCAGAAGCTTGTAAATTGAGATCAAAATAATCTTGTTCATTAGGAACAGTAAAGGTGACATCTCCATCTGGTTGGCAGTCATCATCAGTAGGTGGCTCATTGAGGTCTAGTATGGCCTGCCCACCCGCATCAGCATGCAAGGAAGCAAGGTCAGTACAACTGCATATTTCAAATTTGATTCTTGCACTCATACTACTTGCGGAGATGAAGTTATGGAACATCTTACCTGAATTATTTCCTTGTTGCCCTCCTGCAAACTGGGTTTACTGTGCCTCATGAATTTGCATGGGTTCCTCATTCAAGTCTGGTAAGGCACAATGCATTTGTAAGGGTTCTTTGTCTGGTGGCTCATTCAGGTCTGGTAAGGCCTCTACTTGATCTGGTGGTTGTGCGTTCAGATCAAAACCCATAGCTGGCACTCTGTAATGGAAGATGAAAAGATTGTACAGTGAGGAGCAAATGGAAGCAGGGGAGGCATGGTGAGGAAGGAGGAAACAGAAGACAGGATGAGGAAATGGAAGCAACAACTAGCGTAACATGTGATCTGTTGTGTAAAGTTGTTTATATATGCTGTCCAATCGGCGGCAACCTGAAATTTGTAATGTGCGGTCAGTATTAGTCCCCACCAAACTGTGTGCCTGTTTTGCCTCCATATTTTAATGTAGTTGTGTGGCTGGTATTGGCCCACCACCGTCAGTGTTAAACACTGCACTTTCAGTGAACATTCTAGATAGGTCGATTGTTTCTGAGTTCTGGTGCTTGTGGAGAATGATACAGCAGGGGCACATGCGTAATTTCACACTTTCACTAGTTTGGCCTAGAAAACTGAGATTTACATGTTTTTTGGGACGGAGGGAGTACTAAGCGAATGAGATTTCGTCAGTCATTCTTGTGCCATTCTGTGCCTTAATTAATGGTTTCTTGATAAGTACTAATGTCCAAGATGCTTTAAAGCCTTGCCAGTACTGTTGTTCCTTCTACTCTATAAGTTAATGGAAATGTAATACCTTACTCTAGATTGTTACCGTGTATGGAACTTGCACGAATTATGATGAAAGATGTATCTTCTGATGAAAAAATATGTATTATTATTTTTCTCACTGTTGCAGGAAATAAGAGAAACTCAGGTGAGCTGAACTTTCTATTGATAAAGCGGCAATGTCATAAGGCTTACAACTTTTCATGTTGAGCTTGAGCCATATATGGTGAAATAGAGGTGCTCTTCCTTGATCATAATACACAGTTTTGTGCTTATTTTTGTTTTCCTGATGCTACAAGCTCACAAGTGAAGCACTAGCAGTCTATCTAGTGTTCTGTTCAACTTCTGCTTCTATTTTAGTGGAGAACCAGTGTAATTAAATAAACTTGTTGCTCACCTGTGATAAAATTTGTATTGTCTTAGTGTTAACTTCATCACCCCTTTTGGATCCTATGAGATCAGACTATTAATCCTATATTGAGGCAATCCACTTCATACCCCCGCAGGTTCATGTTCAGGGTTTGGGCAATTTTGTGCATTAGGATTTGAGGATTTTGGTACTGCTCTGACCCGAGTTTGAGGTGAGCATTGAATAGCCTCATCTCATTATGAAAGTTTTAAGCTGGTTGCTAATAAGTGTGCCAGAACAGAACTGGGGCATCCTAGATGGTTTTATGCTTAAGGATTCATACTTGGCCAAATCGTTGAAGAAACTTAGTGATGCATCTTCATATAAATCAAAACGGCAACACCTGTCTGTTATTGTCTGACATTTTGTAGCTCTTTCTTCTAATAAGCCCTTCTTGTTTATTGTACTCCATCCATGATGTGTACAGTTTCAAACTTAAATGAAGATTTTTTCAGTCCATTATGCTCTAGGTCTGATGTGATACTTAACTCTAGTTCTTAATCAAAAGTATCTAGAATTCAGTGTTTTCATATGCAATGTACTAGAAAACCAGGCGCGGCAACACGAAGTAGGGACAGCCATTGCTCATCACTGGCGCTTCAGTATATATCATATCATTGTTTTTTTTTTTGGCTAGTTTTCTTCTTTGCATTTGGTCCCATGGCCTATTGGGCTTCTGGCAGAAGTGTTGAATACTGTCTTTCCTGTGAGCAATGCAGGAGTGCCCAAGCACAATAGTGTCATTTTTTGGATGCTTTTTTTTTTGGTTTGGAAAGATGTCACCTGAGTAAAGATAATTCTGGGCATCAATGCTTTAGTCTAAACTGTTTGGTCCAAATCTCCTTTGTACTTGGTTGCTCATTTGTGCTTAGCTAAGCAAAAGAGTAGCAAAAAACTGGACCCTGTCACAAGATTTTGTCAAGTAAACAACAATTTCCAAGGATAAATATTTTCCTCTGTAGAGCAGCTGATTGGCGGCTCTAATTAGAAAGATAGTAGAGTGTTGCAATTTGTACAGCAAAATATTAGCCAAATATGCTGCTGGTGCTATGTAAAGGTATTTTAATACTGCAGTTAGGGATGAAAATGGGATGGATATTTCCTGATATCTATCCATCCCGAAAGGGTTAAAACCCTCCTTGGATAATCCATATATGAATCCACACATTTCCGTACCGTATCTGAATACTCAAAGTTGGATTTCTGATACACATATGACATATATCAATATCCGACGCATCTGACACTATCCATATTCCTCCGAATCCAAAAAATAAATGACTACTCGTATTCATTATCCATAGTATCTGTTCGTATCCGATCCAGTTTCTTCCCTAACTGCAGTTCTCTTTAGTCCTGATGTAGGTCCACCGTATCCCTTTTAAATTTAAGTGAAGACATGCAGTGTAACAGTAATAAGCAGTGCTATAAACAACAACAAATAGATCAGACTGATGAGGCTCTCATATCTGTTGTTACTTTATAGATGATAGAATTGTGTGTTAAGTAAAAACTGCAAAAGCAATTACTAAAATGTTAAGAAACATTGCTCTCCCACAGTTGTCTGCTGCGTACAATAACCCAAGAATCCAAACTAATGTAATTCTCCTTGATAAGCAACAAATGTAGACCCGAAAAATTATATTTGACCTCCCAAAGCTGTTTCATGAACTGTATCTTTTATGACATCAGCACATACAAAAAAGATTCAGGAAAATACAAAGGATTACCACCTTGGGTGTAGTGAAGGCCACTGTCAAAAGTAAGTTAGCGTACCAGTTGGTTGAGATAAAAAATAATTCTTGCATGTTGCCACCAAACTATCAATAAATTGACCATGGTTCTTGTATCTAAATAAGGCCAGTCTCAATGGAGATTTCATAGAGTTTCATGGGCATTAAATATGCTGATATGGCACTATCTTGATGAAGAGAGAGAAGATAAAAGTTTCATGGGAGTAGAGAGAGTTTCATGGGGATGAAACTCTTCTGCACTGTTTCCAAAATATGGGTGTGTTGGAAACTGGGAGATGAAACCTCTACTGAGACTGGCCTAAGAGTCTGGAAAAAACAAAAAGAGACCAATAACGAATTTAAGAGGAATGTTCTACCAAAATAAAACTAATCAGTTGTCTGAAAAGTCTTTTGAGTCCAATAGTATTGCCATCATGTTCGTCCCATAGAAACTCCAATGAGAAATGTCTCCTAATCAGGTCTGCCAAAAGGTCCGAAGCTTGACCTTAGTGATCCAAATTTAAGTTCAATAGTATCGCCATCATGTGGGTCTCATTGAAGCTTGGCAATGCACTCCATAACCCAGCAAGCAGGTTCATGTTCATGGTTTGGGCGATTTTGTGCATTGAGTAGAGGATTTTGGTACTGCTCTGATCCAAATTTGAGGTGAGCATTGAATAGCCTGATCTCATTATGGAGGTTTTGTAAGTGTTCCAATAGCCGATAACTAATAGGTGTGCCAGAACAGGATTGGTATATGCTAAACGTTCGGATTCCTATATGGTTTTATGCTTCAGGATTCATACTTGGCCAAGTTATTGAAGAACAGCATGTACTTACATCCATGGTGGTCTATATTGCTATGGCCATTGATCTTCCTCCCTGGGCCATCAAGGCTATTGACAGATTAAGGAGAGGTTTTTTATGGAGAAGAAGAAAGAGGCCAAAGGTGGCCATTGTATAGTGGCATGGACCAAAGTGTGCCTCCCCAAACAGCTTGGTGGTCTTGGAATTTCCAACCTCCAAAGCCTTGGCTGGGCTCTTCGGATGAGATGGTTGTGGTTGAAGAAAACAGATCCTACTCGCCCTTGGAAAAATTTTCATGTGCTGGTCCATAAGTGTGTCCAAGCTTTCTTCTCTGTTGCAGTGGTTTCAGAGATTGGTAAATGAGGCTGCAACTTTGTTTTAGACTGACGGGTGGTTTTACGGCCAGAGTATAGCCCCCCTCAAGTCTTGGCATTAGTTTCCAAAAGGAAAAGGAACAAGACTTGCCTGGGTTAGGGATATTCAGGGCGCCTTATCTGCTGCATTTTTCATTGAGTATTTTGCCCTTTGGAATATCATCTCAGAAGTGGTATTACAACCAGAGGTGGAAGACACTCATGTTTGGAGGTTCTCTGGCAATGGGCATTATTCAGCAAATCCGCCTATGAAAGCCTGTTTCTTGGTACGGTAATTTTCAGATCGTATGAGAGGATTTGGAAAACTTGGGCACCTGGGAAATGCCGTTTTTTCATGTGGCTAGTGATCCGTGAAAGGTGTTGGACGGCTGATCGGTTGGCACGAAGGGGGCTTCCTCACCCTTCCTGTTGCCCCCTTTGTGACCAAGAGGAGGAAAATATTAACCACTTGCTGCCGACATGCGTCTTTGCACGAGAATTTTGGTTTTTCCTTCTGCGCCGAGTTGGACTACACAGTCTCAATCCCGTATTTGATGAGATCTCCTTTGATGATTGGTGGGATAAAAGCTCAAGAAGGGTGCCTGATCATTTAATAAAGGGTTTTAATTTCATCATCATCTTAGGGGCTTGGACATTGTCGAATCTTCGTAATCACTGTGTATTTGATGGTGAACCCCCTAACCTAGCTAGAGCACTATTGCTTGCTAATGAGGAGCTTCATTTTTGGGGTTTTGCTGGGGCGAGAGGCATAAATCATCTCCTTGCCCAGGGCTGTTCGTGTATTGAGTGTGGTAGCTGGTCGTCTCCAACTCTTGTTAAGGACGCGACTGTTTGTTTAGAATCCTAGTGGTTTGTGTTTTGCATGCGTAAGGTCCTCCTCCTCCTCCTCTAATATTTTGTTTGGCTGAACGTGCAACAGTTTGGTGTCTGAGTATAGTTGAATGGATGCTAGTTATATTCAAAATTCAGATCTTCATAGCTGTGGTCAGTTTGAAATTGTGATGTACTGTTGTAGATAGGCAAAGCTAACTGGTTTCATTTCTCGATGACCTTTATAAGCAGCTAATTTGTTTTGTGATTTTGTCGATCCCATATAGGGCTATTGGCT